TACAGGCACTTAGGAAGTGATCTACCGTGCTTCTAATTGGTGTTGTGACAGATCTCTAGGTCCTGAAAGTCTTAGGTATATTGTTGTTGTTGTTATGTGCTGTGGAGTCGGTTCTGACTCATAGTGACCCTGTACAGGGTTTGCAAGGCTATAACTCTTTACAGGAGCAGAAAGCCTCATCTTTCTCCTGTGGAACAGCTGGTAGTTTGGAACTGCTGACCCTGAGGTTAGCAGCCCAATTCATAACCTCTACGCTACCAGAGCTAAGGGAAATATAGATGGCTTCTTGAGGCACAAGAAAAATCAGGCAGTTTCTGCCCCTGATAGGTAGGTGGACAATGAAGTGGGAACATGAAAGGGTCTTCTCTGGTAGCAGCAAGGACTTTGGTCAGACATTCAGAACCTCAATTCCTCAGATACTGACTCTCATGCTTCAGTATGTACCAGAATCACTTAAAGGGTTTGATTCAGAAGGTCTGGGGTGGGAGCATATAATGTACATCTCTAATAAGCTCCCTGTTGGTACTGATGAGGTTAGGGACCTCACTGTGAGAGCCACAGCTCTAGGAGAACCCTTAATGTCTTCAAAATGCATATGAGCATTTGATGTTTAGGGAAACTTATTCTGCAGGAGAAAGATGAGGCTTTCTGCTCCTATAAAGATTTACAGCCTCGGAAGCCCTGTACAGGGTCGCTATGAGTTGGAACCGACTCCACGGCACATAACAACAACAACAACAGTACTATGCTCAATGCTTATCATATCTAAATAACCTCACGTCACTCTCACAACAAGGCTGTGAGTCGGCAATTATTTAACTGGCTTTTACAGTGGGAAGCAGTAGGCTAGAGAAGCTTGAAGGCTTGTCCCAGGCTATGGAGAGCATCAGTGAGATTCCAGCCTTAAAGCCTACATTCCCAATTCTATGTTCTGCCTTGTGGCATTTATTTGTTGAGAGACTATAAGGTGGCCTGATACGTAGCAAAATGTTAGCTGGAACTCAGACAAGAGAAAGTGAAGAGCTTTCCAGATCATTCCCTCTCTCTAAATCAGTGTCCAAGGTGCAGAGGCATCCTGCTCTAGTTTCTGAAAGTGTCACTCCTCTGTCCAGGACAACTTGTACCCCATAATACTGTTACCTATTTTGGAATTCAGAAGGCAGCTAGGCTACTTAGTTTCCTGACTTCTTGTGAACTCTAGGAATCTTGATGATTACTTGCTACATAAACTTCACCTTGCTTTAAAGCACATTAGAAAATAATGGCTCTAATATTCTTCTAACTGCTAGGATGGCCTTGGTCTACAGTTCAAATTAAACATTAGCTCATCTTGCCTCCAGGTTTGAAATGAATGTACCCAGAAGAAATTTACAAAGGGATAGTGATGTTGAAATATTTTAAGTGCAAACAGGAGCGAGTCCTGTGTGTTGACCCTGAGAAGGCTGTTTTGTCTAAAGTCCCTATTTGATCCCTCATTTGTCTATGCCTTACTGTGGCCTTGTCCTCTCTGAACTTTTAGCATTCTTGTGCCGAAGACTTCAGCTGACTGCTAAATGGCTCTGATATGTGTGTGTAAAGATCCTTACTTCATCCCAGAAGAGATCACCTACAGATAGTTTTAACTCCTGAAAGGACAGTACTACCACTGCTGACCAAATTAGCAAGACTCAAGATTTAGTACACCAGAATCTGTGTCAAAATTAATTTTTTTTTTAATTGTGTCATAAACACAGAGTGGTTTTTGGTCACTAAAAGTGTTAGTTGCATCCAGCCTTTCACTTCCCCCAGTCCATCATTTGATGCAGAGTTTTGGTTTTTGTTGTTGTTCCAGGGAGTCAGTTCTGACTCATAGCAACCTGCATAGTGTTTCTGAGGCTGTAAATCTTTACGGGAGCAGAAAGCCTCCACGTTCTCCCGTAGAACAGCTGGTTGTCTTGAACTGCTGACCTTGAGTTTAGCAGCCCGACTTGTAATCACTTCACTATCAGAGCTCCTTACATTTTTTGGTTAGTTGTCTTTTATTGTATTCTAGTGAGAATTGTGTTTTCCACCCATTCTCATTCTCTGTCATGTCAATTTCCTGAAGGTAGATCTCAAGAGTGACAGAGAATGAAGTGACGGTTACTGTTGTTTAGGGCATTAGCTGGTAAAGATGCAATCTATTTCACTTTTTCCCTTGGTCAAACTAAGCATCATGCAGGGAGTTCAGTATGTTTATCAAGAATAGAGGAATGATTAAGAGTGTGCAATGGAAGGTAGAGTCCCCACTGAATAGTTTTCATTGTGTCTAGATGGGTCTGGTGAAAGGAGATTTGGATAAGATTCTTATGACTCAACAGTGAGTAATTGTTATCATGACTGTGATTGTCACAACTGTAAAGGCAGAAGTTTTGTAACAAAAGGGAAGAGTAGTTAATCTTACAATCCTGGAAAAGAGGACCCTAGGACCATTAAGGGAGAAGAGCACAAGAGGAATGTGGGACCCTATCCAGGGAAGCAGTGACACAGAGATGGAGGCAGAGATGGGGACATGGAGAGAGGGAGTAGCTGAGAACTCTAGATTCATGGAAAGAGAGGGACTGAGTGCTGGTGGCCAGGAGGCAGGCTTGCAGAATGTGCCTTGTTTAAATGATTATATATTCCTGAGTGTGTTTGTGTACATCTCCCCACCCACCCCAAAAATAGAAACACAAAGGGAATGAAAACAAATACTGTTGAATGATGATACATGCAGGAGATTGCAATCATTGCAATGAAATGTGATCATTGCAATGAAATGATGGTGTCAAGCTGATGTTCTCCCATGTAAGCTATTTAAAATTTTAAAATATATATATATAAGGAAATGGGCCTATTCTAGTGAAAAAAAAAGGGGGGGGAGAGTATGAGAATGAATATGCAGATGTTTCATTTATCACCTGGAAGCTTCAAAAAACTGGATTCTGATCACTTTCTTGGAATTAGTCTGTCTCTCAAAAGTCCTTTTCTAAAAAACCTTGATCTCAGTAACCTGTCCAATATTCATTAACATCTCAATTATTAATGTGACTGCCAACATTGTAGAGAAGTTGACAGTTTAGATGAATTCTATTAGCAGAAAAATATGGACTCAAAACATTTCTTCTAAGGTAAATCTGTTATGTAACATCAAAGTTGGCTCTGAACACAAGTACATGCTCCTGCTCTAAGAAGGTAGAAGAGAGGGAAGAAAGAACACAGTCCAGACCAAGGAGGAGAAAGGATGAGGACCCAACAGCAAAAGCCACGGTGTGTTGCAATCCTAGCCTAAACTGTGTCTCTGGGAAACAGTATTCCTTAAATCCACAGAAACCCTCCCTTCAAGGGAATGTTAATTCTCCAACAACATGGCAGAGCTGAAGCAGAGTCCCACAGGAGCTTCGGTTCAGATCAGTTCATACAGTGTTCTTTACCTGGTCCCAGGGTTTGGTAGGCCTTGCACTTTTCAAGGTAAGGAGACTCCCCTTCCTGGAAGTGGACTCTTCCAGTTTCCACATGTGATTATTCAGGTACTTTCACTTTTCCATATATAGGAGTGGTGACGTCTTGTGTTCAGTCGACTCCTCCTTCCCACCTACTCTCACCTCACCCTCACGTGCTCCAACTGGTCAAGCAGGAGTCATCTTTGTGTCTCTGACAAAGAGGAGTCTGTTGGGTTTAAAGAACTCACTCAGGCCACCTCACAGCATTAGAACCAGTGCTCTGAAGAAGCTGCCTGGAGCAGTGGGGAGAGATGAACGGGCCGGTGGATGGTTTGTGTGACCATTCTCTGAATGAAGAGGGCGCCTTCATGTTCACATCTGAGTCTGTGGGAGAGGGGCATCCTGGTGAGTAGGCTGAGCTGGGCTGACTGCACTCAGAAGTCATGCTGAGTAGAGTCATTGGAAGGAATTTGTTAGCATGAAGAATCTCTGGAGAAACGTTGAAGTGTTAATCATTCTAAAAATATGTAGTTTTATGAACCAGTCATCTGTTAAGGCAAATGATAGATTTGTATGTTAATGAAGCTGAGGTCAATAGTTTTTGCCCATTGTCAGTATCTCACAATAGTAGGGCTGCAATGGTGAGCCGTGGACGACTAATGTTTCATACATACAAAATGTAGTCTAGGATCTGAACTTTTTATTTACTTATTTATTGAGTGTAGCCTTAATCTGTTATCACTGAGCAGCTTATGTCAACAGAAACTGTTCCCTTACACAAGGCCATGGGTCACTAAATTTTTAAGATAAAGTACAGGCACTTAGGAAGTGATCTACCGTGCTTCTAATTGGTGTTGTGACAGATCTCTAGGTCCTGAAAGTCTTAGGTATATTGTTGTTGTTGTTATGTGCTGTGGAGTCGGTTCTGACTCATAGTGACCCTGTACAGGGTTTGCAAGGCTATAACTCTTTACAGGAGCAGAAAGCCTCATCTTTCTCCTGTGGAACAGCTGGTAGTTTGGAACTGCTGACCCTGAGGTTAGCAGCCCAATTCATAACCTCTACGCTACCAGAGCTAAGGGAAATATAGATGGCTTCTTGAGGCACAAGAAAAATCAGGCAGTTTCTGCCCCTGATAGGTAGGTGGACAATGAAGTGGGAACATGAAAGGGTCTTCTCTGGTAGCAGCAAGGACTTTGGTCAGACATTCAGAACCTCAATTCCTCAGATACTGACTCTCATGCTTCAGTATGTACCAGAATCACTTAAAGGGTTTGATTCAGAAGGTCTGGGGTGGGAGCATATAATGTACATCTCTAATAAGCTCCCTGTTGGTACTGATGAGGTTAGGGACCTCACTGTGAGAGCCACAGCTCTAGGAGAACCCTTAATGTCTTCAAAATGCATATGAGCATTTGATGTTTAGGGAAACTTATTCTGCAGGAGAAAGATGAGGCTTTCTGCTCCCGTAAAGATTTATAGCCTTGGAAACCCTGTACAGGGTGGCTATGAGTCGGAACCAACTACACGGTACACATCAACAACAACAATTCCAAAGCCTGACTTTTGTTGTTGTTGTTGTTGTTAATCTTCTTGTTTTAGTTGTTACTTGAAGATATTTTCCTCTGAGACTTTTTATGTCAGTTTTGGACATCTCCATGTCCATCTCGTGGTTCTCAACCACCGTCAGTTTTGCTTTGCATTCCCCTCCTTCTGGAAATATTTTCAGTTGTCACTACTGTGGGGAGCAGAATGCTACATACATTCTCATGAATAGAGGCCAGAAATGCTGCTAAAATTCCCACAGTGCACAATGCAGTCTCATGGGTCAGTTAAATGTAAAGAGACTCTTTCAGTAGATACAACTTTATTGATGAAAGTTCTAGGTTTACGATAATCATAATCTCAATACCTAACTATGTTTCACACTTCTCTACAGTTCTTTGGTGGCAAAGGCCATTTATAAATCAGGAGAAAAACTTACTCCACCTGGAAAAAAGAAGCATGCAATGGCCAATTGCCCCAAGCATGGACCATTTTATACAAAACCAATGTGTTCATTGGATAAAAAACTAGAATTTAAGCTGATCAGTTACTTCTTTTCTATCTAATAACAATCTAGCCATTATAAGTTAACTGTCCAAGAAAGTTAGTTTCCTCTAAGGCTTATTTTCATCACTGAATTCCTTCCCATCATAAAGATAAAATAAATATTTCCATTTTAATTGCTAAGAAGATCAATGATTGGCTATTAGGCCCATCAAGTGATATAGAGAACATTTTTGAAAGTCTAAAAAACCAGCTCAGAGTGGCCCCTTAGGCTCCAGACATTTTTACCTGATTCCAGCTTTCTCCTCAGTTGTTGCATTTTTTCTAAGAGGCTTGGGAGCATGCGGACTCTATCTCTTGAACATCCATGATCAGTATGTGAACAGCTCCTAAGAGTCCCGATTCTTGTTGTTATGTGATGGAAACAACCCTAGAGTGGCCATCATATATCTGTTTTAGGATATTTTAGCAGTGGGTGTTTCTCCTTGGTAGGGTATACAAGGAGCTCTGATAGCATAGTGGCTGTAAGTCAGGCTGCTAACCTCAAGGTCAGCAGTTAGAAACTAACAGCCGTTCTGCAGAAGAAAGATGAGGCATTTTGCTTCTGTAAACCCCGGAAACCCTATTCAGGGTCACTATGAGTTGAAATCGACTCCATAGCACACCACCATCACCATAATGAGATAAACCTAAATTTACAACCTGGGTTTGCCATTGGCAGGAGGAGAGATTAAACACACACATACACCAACACCCCAAAACAAAAACTCAAGCAGTTAACCGTTTCTGAAGACAAAATTAGAGAGTTAATATTTAATGGTAGATTAATTGGCATTGTTGTTGATGTTGTCAATTGCTGTCGAGTTGGTACCAACTCATAGTGACCCTGTGTGGCATTTCCAAGCAGCGGCTGGTGAGCTTGAACTGCTGATCTTGTGGTTCAAAGCGACTTTGCAGTTCAGCACAATAACCCACAGTGCCACACCAGGACTCCTAATTGGCATTAGCATCTTTAATTATAGAATTTATTATGTACTTTTGAGAGCAGAACTGCTTGATTCTGGATCTGGAGTCTTAATTTTAAAACTTGTTAATAATTAGAATTGACTCCGTATGTACTGGAACACTTGAAATGTAAATAAAGGTCACTTTTATTTCTGAGCTCTGACAGTTTACATCATCCCAATCCTGAATGATTTCATTTCCCTCCACAGTGCCACTAAATGGGCAGGCTAGACCATGTAGTGTCTTTAAAGGTAGAGATTAGAAGAATCAGATAAAATCCCAGCTCTTACTGGTTCCTTTCCACTCCCATCATGATTGATGAAGTCTACCCCAGCTATCAGGACATCTGGTGTCAAAAGGTCAAGTGACCATGGGGGAGGATCAGAGAGACACTTAAATGTCCTGTAGAACAGTGATATTGTGTAGGAGTTCTTTTGTAGATTGCTTTTGAATGGTGGCATGAACTGTGTATAGCGAGTTATAAACAATGCATTGTGTCTAGTGGAACCTAAAGTGTGTTACATCTGTTTGTCCATTGTGACTCTATGATTTGGTACTTGATTATACTGATATAATTAACTAATTTAACTTCTGTTTCCAGGACCTTTCAACAGTTGTTTGTTGTTAATTAGTGGGACCCTGTATGGTGGTGGTGGTGGTAGTGTGCCTCAGTTCCTCCTCATAGCAACCCTGTATTAAGGTTTCCGAGGCTGTAAATTTTTACCGGAGCAGAAAGCCTTATCATTCTCCTTTGAAAAGGCTGGCAGTTTCCAACTGTTGACCTTGAGGTTAGCAGCCCGACTCATCACCACTATGCTACCAGAGCTCCTTGGGACCCTGTATAAATGTTAGAATTGAAGGAAATATATTAAGGAATGGGAGACAATTTGGTTGCAAAAATCTATGTGTGTTTGTGTTTGTGCATGTGTGCAAATTACTTCTGATTCTTAGAAGAACTAATTTAGGAGTGTCTTTATACAAATCAATGACGTAATATACATTTAAATTTACACAGGAGTGGAAAGAAATAAAATTTCAGTACTTCTAGTTTTTTATATTGAAAAAAAGTATCCTCTTAGGTAGGTAGAGTTCATACATAAACTGACAATGTAACTAATCATTTTAAAGTCCTTGGTATGTTGTACCTAATGTTTTAGTACATTTTCTTCTTGTTCAGATAAGATCTGTGACCAGATCAGTGATGCAGTACTGGACGCCCATCTCAGTCAAGACCCCAATGCCAAGGTGGCCTGTGGTGAGAAATGACTGGTTCCTACCTGGTGGAGACCTAAGTGGGTGGGGTTGAAACCTTTTTTATGAGCTTAGGAACATGGAGTTGTACGCCTTGTTTTCAAAATCTGTGTCTGCTGGTCCGCAGTAGGTTTGTTAATTACCTGACAGTTCCTATTGAATGAAAGGGAGTGAAGACCATTTCTAATCATGAAACAAATTGGTAGTTAATTTGGCAAGAGATTGGCAGTAGATATGCTTGTTAAGTGCAGTCAAGTCTATTCTGACTCACTGTGACTCTACATAGGGTTTCCGAGGAGCATGTGGTAACTGTTTAAACTGCAGTCCAGAGCTGATCCTACAGTGCCACACCAGGAGGAGATATAGCAGCAATCCCAAATAGTAGATGGCTGAGTTGGAGCCTGGTCTTTCTGACACTTCATCTCCCTGGGAGTGGGGAAGCTTTCAGAGATTTTAGAAGAACTCTTCACAGTAGATAGGAGAACTGGGGAGGAAGAGAGGAAGCTGCTGAGTGGCTCCCTTTTGGTAGTTGCACAGAGGTCTGGCTATTTTTCTTGGTCTCTTTTCTGGTTTGTGGCACGACTAGGTTTTAAATTAATTTGTCTTCTATTGAACAGCAGCAGGAGGACATATCTTCACCAATTGTTTTTAATTTAACCAATAGCTTTCCTAAGAGGACTTATAGTTAAAGTCAAGCACTGAGATCCTCTTTCACATCTTCATAATGCACTGATTCATGGAAACGCACACTGGTGGAGACTGCCATTTTTATTTTGGGAATAAGCTCTTTGGCAGGTGAAACAACAGCCAAGTAAGGGACACAAAGCCTAAAGGGCTCCAGGGGGGTGACCAGGCCCAGCCTGTCACCTTTCTGATTGGATCATGATGGGTGCTGAGGAATGCCGGGCTCAGTGCTTGATCTCCATTCTCCTTATTGTCAAACAGAGACCCAGCCTCCCTCCCTGGTGGTTTTCTCATCTAGGTGGCAAACTATAGGGACCACCCTTTCCCATATACCTTTTGTAAATAAAGGGAAGACTGATATGTCTGAATCCTTTGTCAGGATCCCCCCCACCCAAAGCCTTCTCCTTGTCTCATTTTAGTCCTCACACAGTTGAGGAAAAAGACTTAGGGAGACTCAATAGCTTGTCCAAGATCACACAAGTACCCAGTGTTAGTATGAAAACTCCAGTGAGACCAGTTCTTCCCAAAGCATTGCTCTCTGGGCAACAATGGAAAAACAATCAGTGCTAAGTACTGGGATTTATCATTTTCTTCACATTACTGTGTTCATTCTAGAATTTACTCCTCATTAGATCCCTATGGGTCCTTTTTATCAGTGCTGTAAACAGTCTAGTTATGTTAGCCTCCTTTGTTGGCATGTGCCCCCTGACCTCTCTCTTTCCTTGCAGAGACGGTGTGTAAGACGGGCATGGTGCTGCTGTGTGGGGAGATCACCTCCGTCGCTATGATTGACTACCAGCGGGTGGTGAGAGAAACCATCAAGCACATTGGCTACGATGATTCTGCCAAAGGTAGGGCAGCAAGGCCTCTGGGTCAGCATGAGTCGTGGGCTCTATGAGAGAGACCACCTATTCAACACACATCAAATTTGAGCTCCTGGTCTGTGGAAGAGCAAATAGTACCCGGATAGGAAGCTTCCTCCCTACTCTCTGCCCATCCATAGAAGTCACTGGCCTGTTTGAACTGGCACCTGTCCTTCACTGTTGCACTGGTCTTATTTAGGAGACCTCTGTTGTCTTAGTGTTAGTAAGCTTTTGGGAGAGAAAGAGGCACTGAGGAAAGGAAGTTGCTTTCTGTTGGAACATTATTTTTGTACTGGACATACATACTCTTTGTATGTGGTGCTTTGTTTAGTGCTTCTAGAAACTTTGGCATACTTATTATGCAGATGAAGAAGTAGAAGAGGTAGAGAATTTGTATGAGGTAACATGATCATTGAGTGGCAGACCAGGTTGGGGACTCTTAGGCTTCCCATTAAATGCTTCCCATTATAAGCAGAAAAGATGGTATGATCCAACACCGGTATCATAGCAGATGCATGCGCCAGACTATGGCCCAGGTCACGCTTGTCTCTGAGCTCTGGGAGGGCATGCAGTGTTAGCACCAGTGCTCCAAAGTGGAGGATTTGAAGCCAGGTTAGAGGAACAGGCCTGGCAGAGAATTGAGGAGGAACACTGGTGAGAGTTGGGAAGAACTAAGGGCCATGAAGTGGGACAGGACTTCTATGGGAAAGTATCCGAAGAGTCAGGTGCTGAGAACCTGTGTGCACAGAGGTCCAGGGAATTCCTGAGATGGGCTCAGGCCACAATTCTTTAAATTCTCATGATGATGTCTGGCATTAGATATTTAGTAGTCCCAAGTTTTCAAGAAAACTTCCTTTTGGGTCTCAGAACGCTCTGAATTTCCTGAACTCACTTACTTAAGCAGTGGTAGTGAAGAGTGGCCTTTCTGGACTATCTTAATTTGTTAATTTTTGTCCCTTGTTACTTACTGGTCATTAGGTGTGACATATAACATCTTTGTAGGTCAGAGACAAAAATGACAGCACCTCCCCCTTTGTGAGTGAGAGAGTCCAGTCCACATGAGAAAACACAGATACATGGAACATCAGTTCAGCTAAAGTCTGACAGGGTCCAAAGGTCTCACAAGAAGTTAGATTCACCAGAGTACACAGCGTGTATTTCAGAGTGTACCAAGAAGCTCTGGGAAGAGAAGCAGTGTTGTTGTTAGGTGCCATCTAGTTAGCTCCAACTCATAGTGACCCTTCGCACAACAGAACAAAACACTGCCCAGTCTTGCGCCTTCCTCACAATTGTTGTTACACTTGGCCCATTGCTGTTGCCACTTTGCCAATCCATCTCATTGGGGATCTTCTTCATTTTCACTGTCCTTTCACATTACCAAGCATGATGTCCTTCTCCAGGGACTGGTACTTCCTGATAATACATCTGAACTGTGAGAGACAAAGTCTCACCATCCGGCTTTGCAGGAGAATTCTAGCTACTGGTAGATGGTGAGAGAGACTTCTTCCAACACAGATTTGTTTATTCTTTGATCAGTCCGTGGTTTTAATATTCTTCTCCAACATTGTAACTTAAATGCGTCAATTCCTCTATGGTCTTCCTTATTCATTGTTCAACTTTCACATGCTTATGAAGCTACTGAAAATACCATGGCTTGGGTCAGGTGCACCTTAATCCTCAAATTGACATCTTTGCTCTAGAACACTTTGAAGAAGTCTTGTTCAGCATATTTGCCTAATGCAATTTGGCATTTTATTTCTTGACTGCTGCTTCCATGAGTGTTGATAATGGATCCAAGCAAACTTCAGTCTTTTCTCCATTTAGGATGATGTTGCTTATTGGCCCAGTTGTGACGATTTTTGTTTGCTTTACATTGAGATATAATCCATACTGAAGGCTGTGCTCTTTGATCTTCATCAGTAAGTATTTAAAGTCCTCTTCACTTCCAGCAAGGAAGGTTGAATCATCTGCATATCACAGATTGTTAATGAGTCTTCCTCCAATCCTGATACCATGTTCTTCTTCATATAGCCCAGTTTATCAGATTATTGCTCAGCATACAGATTGAATAAGTATGGTGAAAGAATACAACCCTGGCTTACATCTTTCCTAATTGTAAACCATTCAGTGTCCCCTTGCTCTGTTCAAACAACTGCCTCTTGGTCTATGTGCGGTTTCCTCATGAGTACAATTGAGTGATCTGGAATACCTATTCTTCACAATGTTGCCCATAGCTTGTCACAATTCACACCTTTGCATAGTCAATAAAGCACAGACAAACATCTTTCTGGTATTCTGTTTTGTCAGCCAAGATCCATCTGACATCAGTAATGATGTCCCTCGTTCCAAGTCCTCCTCTAACTCTAGTTGAACTTCTGGCACGTCCCTGGCGATGTACTGTCACAGCTGTTTTTGAATTATCTTTAGCAAAACTTTACTTGCATACGATATTAATGATATTGTTTGATGATTGTCACATTCCATTGGGTAGCCTGCCTTGGAATGGGCACAAATATGGATCCCTTCCAATCAGTTGGCTGGGTAGCTATCTTCCAAATTTCTTGGCAGAGATGAGTGAGTATCTCCAGGACTGCATTAATTTGTTGAAATAGTTCATTTTTTATTCCATCAATTATTTGCCAATGACTTCAATGCACCTTGGACTTTTTTCTTCACTATCATTGGCTCTTAATCATATGCTACCTCTTGAAATGGTTAAACATCAAACCTTTCAATTTGGTACAGTGACTTTGTATATACCTTCCATCTTCTTGTGATGCTTTCTGCATCATTCGATATTTGCTCTTAGAATGAATGCTTCAATATTTCAAGTTGAGGCATGAATTTTTCTTCAAAATTTTCAGCCTGAGAAATGTTGAGTGTGTTCTTTCCTCTTGGTTTCCTAGTTCCAGGACTTCGCACATTTCATTATAATAAATAATGAACTGAACCGAAAATTTCAAAGGGTAGTTTGAGAAGACAAAGATAATGAGATGTGCAAAGAGAGGCAGTCAGTGCAAGTTGTAATTCTCTTCAGGACATAGGGAGTGTTCATGAAGAAACACACTGTTCCCAAGCAGTCACTTCCTGGCATGTCCACATGCAGAGCCTGCTCCTGACTCTACCAGGAAAAACCATTCTGTGCACACACACATGTAGATCATTTTCCAGAATAGCATTTGCTTTGCTTGAAGTAGAGGATCCCAGTAGATGATGTGCTCTAGGAAGGGAGAAGGAGAGGGAGCCAGCCAGGTAACTGACTGAATTTCTGTGTGCCACAGGCCATGTGCCTTGGTGAAGTAAAACCTGAGAGGTGTATCTAGGCAGAGATGCATTAGCATACGGTGGAGGTGAAGAAGTGTGCTTTGTACGTGGCTGATCCTTACTTCATTTTGGCTAAAAGAATAGTGTGGGGATGCAATTTAAGGGATTTGGTTGGGATCAGGAGGCAAGGGCTATAGATTATTCTTCTGAGGAGTGTCTACTTTAGTCTTCGAAGCATGTATATATATAATACATTAGATCTGATTTTAGTAAGAAAATTCTGACAATGTGATTGTTGTTGTTATTGTTAAGTGCTGTCAAATCGATTTTAACTCACAGCAAACCTGTATAGGGTTTCTTAGGAGCAGCTGGCAGGTTTGAACTGCTGACCTTGTGGTTAACAATCCAATGCTAATCCTACAATGCCACTCCGGGAATGTTGTTGTTGTTAAGTGCCGTTGAGTCAGTTCCGATCCATAGCGACCCTGTTAGGGTTTCCGAGGAGTGACTGGTGAGCTTGAACCACCGATTTTGCAGTTCAAACGGCTTTGCAGTCTAGTGCGTTAACCCATAACACCACACCAGGACTCCACTCGGGAATAGGAGAGTAGAAAGTGGTGACTGTGTAGTTCAGTGCACAGTTAGTCAGCCTGCAACTAGTACTTGGCCTTGTGTATGGGATGTCTGTGTGTTCATATGGTCCCATTGGTCTGCTACAGAGCTCAACGGCTGATCAGCGCTCTGTGCATAGGCCCTTTTGAGGGGACTATGCCCTGATCCCGTCCTCTGCATGCTGAACCAGAGTGGAGAGACTTCTACCTATGAGCCCGTGCTTAGGGACAGGCTGGAACCCTGAATCTTTCTTTTCCCTGCTCCTGTGTACATCTTAGGGGTTAGGTGCTGACTGCAGAGTCCTTCTGAGTAATGTGGGTGCATTGTATCTGCTCAGCTCATTGAATGTGTGGATGAAGCAGATTTCTGGGCTTCTGAACTCTGTGCATTGACACTCTAACTGGATCTGGAGAGGAGCCTCTGAGGAGACTGAGGGTGAGGGGCTGGGACCGTATGTCACCCACTTGCTCTTCACCTAGAACAGTGTTGGCATTACCTGTCTTTTGTGCTGTAAATCTATGTAGACACAGGTGAGGAACTGTGTTCTTCCCTGTCCTGGGCATCCACTCTGGGCCTAGGCAGACCTAACTAGTTAGAGCCTGTCCACCCAACCCTGGGTCCCCAAGGGAGAGCAGTCCAGTGCTCACACAGGTTTGTTTCCCACTGTCCAGGCTTTGACTTCAAGACCTGCAATGTGCTGGTGGCTTTGGAACAGCAGTCCCCTGATATTGCACAGTGTGTTCATCTAGACAAAACTGAAGAGGACGTTGGTGCAGGTGACCAGGTACCTACACATTCTGCATGGAGCTGTGTCAGGCCTTCACGGTGGAGTCGCCCGTCTCAGATTGATGCTGTGTGAATGTCAGGAATAATGGGGTCGGTCACACTGTGGTAGACCCTTATCCTAGTCTGAGCCAGACATGGGGAGCCATGAGCCAGACTTGGGACATGCTAGACACCCTATTTCATTAGGGTGGCTTCAGGACTTGGCCTGGCCATGGAAGGCTATGACCACTAGTGCCTGATTTTGGCTCATCTCCTCTTCTAGAGTTGGGTCCAGGGATGGTGTCTTCCTTCCACAGGGGCCCAGTGCTTATGAGACACCTAATCAGTGCTTGCTGAAGTGAAATTTTAACCTGGAAGCAAGCTGCATGTCTGCTGTTCTGAAATGGGTATTGATCAGCCTGCTCTCTTCCAACTATTTATAGGGTCTGATGTTTGGCTATGCTACCGATGAGACTGAGGAGTGCATGCCCCTCACCATCATTCTTGCTCACAAGCTCAATGCCCAGATGGCAGATTTGAGACGCTCCGGGGTCCTACCCTGGCTGAGGCCGGACTCAAAGACACAGGTGAATGTCTTCTTTTGCTACTCAGAGAACTCTAGATAAACTTCAAGCACTGACAGATGCTCTGGATTCTTGACGTATTTCAGATCAAAGTGTGTGGCCTGGATACTCAAAGAATCATTAGTTTTTAAAAAGAACTATTTGGAAGTTTTTCAGTTATTAACTTCTTTTCCTCAAGATTTAATTATGAAAAAAAAATTAATACAGAGAAGTTGAAAGAATAATTCTAGGTGTTTTGCCTCCTTAACATATGCTGACTAGTGATTCCCTATTTTCTGCCACAAACTTACTCTTACCCCGCTTCTAGGGTTTGACCCACTTCATGAACAAGGCTGTCTGTGCTGCCTGGGTCTCACTGTGACTCCTTTTCTTAGCTTTGCTTCTCATAAAGTAGCTCTACTTTGGCACTGTCAGTTCCTGGTCCCCATGGTCCCAACCTTTGAGTTTGCTGCAGTGTTGAATTCACACTGGAGTCTCATTTGAAGGCCATCATTTGCACATGAGTGGTCTCTTTTCCACTGTTACCCTCACATGCCTTGCCCTGTTGACCCCTGATGATTCCAATGGCTCCTTTCCTCTTGGTTCCTTTCCTTCTACCGCCAACAAATAACTCCACAAGTTCTGGACACTTCCTTCACCATGTTTTTCTCTCTGTCGCACTTGTGGGGTCCAGTTTTCCAGTCACACATTCAGTAACCAAATCTTCAATCTGCAAGCCTTTCTCACGCACTAGTCCCATTTCTTCTCTCTCCTGCAAACCTGTTTTATGCCACTGCGGTCACTTAACATTTAGAGTGAGGTAGCGTACGCTTTCTCAGTCCTGCCACAGCCACTCTGCCTCCACTGTCCTGTGAATCATGCCTTCCCTGCAGAATTTTCTCCTGCTTTCCTGGAACCTTCACATGCCTGACAGTTCCCGCTTCCTCTTCTGGGAGCTTCCTCTTACTTCTCGCAGGCTTTATTTGTAACTTCCTGATGCCTATTCTGTATCTTAGGCGTCCTGGTAGCATAGTGGGTTCTGAGTTGGGCTGGTAACCGTAAGGTCAGCAGTTTGACCCCACCAGCAGGAAGAAGATGAGGCATTCTGCTCCCATAAAGATTTACAGCCTCAGAAACACTATGCAGGGTCGCTATGACTTAGACATCACCTCTACAGCACACAATCACCTCACCGCTGCCACCACCAGACTCTTAATCTTCCACCACTTTCTGCTTCTTGTGAAAGAATCCCCATTTGTCATTCTGGTAGTCAAAGCATTTCATGGTCCTCCTTCTTCTCCCATTCTCCTATGAAAGAATCTCCATTTGTCATTCTGCTATTCAAAGCATTTCATGGTCCTCCTTCCTCTGTGCCGTCTCCCATCCTCTAAGTTTTGTTTGGCCTATTTTCTTGCACTGTGCTCCCCTTATTTCTTAGTGTTCCCACTCTTCTCCCTAGCTTCAGTCTTTCTCAGGTCCACGCCTGCCCTTCAGTGGTCAGCACAGTTCTCCCTTCTTCATGGACATTTTGTTTGCCACCACCAGACAGTGTGTTCGCCTTACCCCTCATATGGCATTTGGCATATGTGGCTGTACAGCTCAACATTGAGCATGTGATTGCACAGGCCACATGTAGGGCAGAAGTGATACAAGAGCTATGCTTGGGTCCAGGAAGTGCAGGTGTGCCATTCACGTGACCCCAAGTTGCAGGCTAGGGCAGACCCATGTCTTGGCAACTCTTTCATTTGGTACCACCACAATTCAAGTAAGGCTCTAACCTGGAAGTAGAAAAAGGGTGGGGATTCATAGAAAAGGAGACCTGAGAACAGGGACGAACAGTGAGCAGGGCCAGTTGATCATTCCTTTTTCTACCCATTTATCAGCTTCTCGATGGCACATAACAACAACAAATAATCAGCTTTGGGCAGTGTTTGTTCTGCTACGCATACGGTCGCAATGAGTCAGAACAAACTAGATGGCACCTAAGCATAACAACAGCAACATTAGACCAACAAACATAGAAACGATCTCCTTTATTAATCGATTTTTTAATATGTAGATTTCCAAGTCTACGAAGCAGGGAAGAAGGGTAGGAGGAAAGAATGGGCTCTTTTAGGGCTTCTCTTCCTGCAAGAGTACACTAAGGTCTCCCACAAATGTTCCCTCAGGTACCAGAGCCTGCCTCACTCCCTGCCAGCTGGCCGACCGTCCCGGACTAGTTGGCTGGCTGAGTAGGGGTGTGAGTCCACCTGTAGGCTCTCTAGGACCCTGGGCCAGCTTGCTTACTTCCCACAGCACCATGTGTGAGAAGCAGTGCTAGAAATCTGGCTCGACCTTTAAAAGCTTTCCATCACCAGAGCCTTTCACCTGAGCAAATTCTTGCTGCTGATATTGGGAATTGGGTGACGATATGCTGGCTATTTTTGTACCTGCTCAGAGTTGTGTTTTCCATGCTATTTCCCCCCACACATTCCCGCCCCCACACACACACACACATCTTGTAGATGCAGTGAGATAAAAGCAATGCTTGTGGCCCTTTGCTCTGTTGCCAGTTGGTGGCTCTGTGAGGGATTTGCCTATAAGAGGGAGGTGCTGTCTAAGCAGAGAAGTGAATGGGTCTCCACAGCTTCTTGGGCTATGAAGACCTGACCTGACAACCTCTAGCAGCCCCCCTCTGGAAGTCTTACACCCAGTCCTGTGTATGCCTAGCCCAGCATGTAGGGGCTGCTCTCTGCCCACAGATGTCTGTGTGGGTAGGGGTCTTTCTCTTCCTTCTTCCTTAACTCACCCACACTGCTCTTGGGCCAGCCAAGAAACAGTGTGTGTCTTATGCAAACTCAGATCTGACTGGTGGCAGTCTGAGGGGCTTTGGGTGGTCACAGTGCCAGAGAAATACTATTTGTTGTAGGGAGCAGTCCTGTACCCATTGCAGTGTCCTACTGGTGCTATCTTGCCATAATTATACTCCTCAGGTACCACATGTTCTGGGTCCCCTGGGCAGCATGGGATATGTGATCCAGCACATCCCTCTGGGTCTGGAGTGGCAGACTTCTGCTACTAGCCCACGCAACTCCAGGTGTGATCTTCTGGTTATGCGACCTTGACAAAGGTGTTTAGTTTCTGGAACTTCAGGTTTCTGGTCTATAAAATGAAGTGGAAACACTGCTCATAGCACATGGGAAGTGCTTAGTCAATGCTCACTGTTTCCCCAGGTTCTCTGCCATCCCATTCTCCACTCCACTCTGTGCACGAGGGTGCCCAGCTGCCAACCTTAGTTATTAAGATAAACCGGGCTATGGCGTTTGACCTATACAGGCTCATGGATGTGGGGTGAAGCATAGACCCAGGAAGGAAACTTTGTCTGCTGTGTTGAGGAGGACACAGGCTCTCGGTTGTCTTTGGCCTTGAACTGTGGTTGGACGTCAGACACACGCTTTTACATACCACAGCTTCATTTTTCTAATTTGTAATGTAGGGGCCACAATTCACTGTGATGGCTTAAATGTTAGTGGTGCATTAAATGGGTAGGATGTCTCAGACAGCCTAACCTACAGGGCATCACGGAAGATTCCTTCCTTCCAGGGAATCTGGTCTTCCTTGCTCTCTCTGACCATCGAAAGTTGGTCCTTCACCCGTCCCTTCAACAGACAGGCCCACTGGCCCCACATACATCTGGAACCCTCCACCACTGACATTAGGTCTGTGTGACCCATGGACCCTTGAGCTTCTTGGCTAGGGTAGGGATACCTAGAGAAGTCTTTGTCCAGGGGACATTCTGGGCCTATAGAAGCTCTGAGATAAAAAGTGGGAGTGGAGTGGGGTAGGGTGGGGTGGTTGTTTATTGTATGCCATCGAGTCAGTTCCAACTCACCGCGATCCTGAATAGGGTTTCCAAGAACTGCTGATGTGTTTGAACTGCCAACCTTGTGGTTAGTAGTCCTGTATTCAGTGTAGAGGGCAAGGGATGTGTGTTGTTGTTGTCAGGTGCCATCTAGTCGGAACCGACTCATAACAACCCCATGCACAGCAGAACGAAACAATGTACGATCCTGGGCCAACCTTACTACTGCTGCCACACTTGATGCTATCAATGATGCCACCTGGCTGATCCATCTCATTGGGGGTCTTCCTCTTTTTCTCTGACCCTCCATCTTACCCAGCATGATATCCTTCTCCAGTGACTGTTCCCTCCTGACAATATGTCCAAAGTATGAGAGATGAAGGGATGTGTAGTGATCATAAATTGAGAAACAACTTTATAGCGCCTAAGACTATAGATTCTGTGGAATTAAAAACTATTGGACTAGCTCTAGCATGGGGCAGATATTCAAAGTGTGTGTGTTTGTGAGCTTTCTGAAGTACCTGTGTGCAAGAGGCTACTTGGGGACCCAAGTTCTGGTGACCTCTGATGTCTGCACTTGGTGGTCGTGTGCAGGTCAGGGCTTCAGTACATCTCCCACCTCTGACTGGTAGGTGACAGTCCAGTACACACAACAGAATGGTGCAGTCATCCCTGTGCGCATCCACACCATCGTCATCTCCGTGCAACACGATGAGGATATCACACTGGAGGACATGCGCACAGCCCTGAAGGAGCAGGTGATCCGGGCTGTGGTGCCAGCCAAGTACCTGGATGAGAACACCATCTACCACCTGCAGCCCAGCGGGCGGTTCGTCATTGGCGGCCCCCAGGTGTGTTGCCCCTCTGTGCTTGGGTCACAGGCCACTGTAGGTACTCCATGTGGGATGGTCTGAGATGACTGTGGACTTGAGGTACGATCATTGGATCTAGCCTTGATCACATGTTCAGTCAGTTGGTGAGGAATGGGATTGTGTTCCTAGAATCCTCCTTTAGTGTTTGCTGCTGGGCCCTCCCCTACAGATGCCCCAGATGGCCAGAATACCTTCCCATAACTGGTCCTGCTAGCCTCACCAAGGTGCTAGCATATCACTTGGTATTTGTGCATGAGCTCTGAATGGGCACCAAGGTGAGGCAAAGGACTTTAATATGAGGACACCTGCTGCCCTATCTCTTGCAGCACTGTGAGGGAGTGCTGCTGAGAGGCTGAAGACCCTATGGAGTGTACTCAGTGGATGTGTTACCACAAAGCCCATAGCAACTTCTGTGAGCAAAGCTATTGTAGAAACACAGGTAGAAGGAAGGGAGAACTAATGTTTTCTTGCAGAATTTCTCAAAGCCTACATGTTAAGGAACCCTGGTGGTGTAGTAGGGTACACGTTGGGCTGCTAACCATAAGGTCAGCAGTTCAAATCCACCAACCACTCCATAGAAGAAAAATGAGGCTTTCTGTTTCCATAAAGATTTACAGTCTTGGAAATGCTATACAGGGTCGCTATGAGTTGGAACTGACTTGATGGCACACAGCAGCTGCAGACATGCTACAATGAATTGTGGAGCTTTAAGAGGGACACGTTTAAGAGGTGTCCTGGTGTGGTGCTGTAGCATAAGCACTGGACTGAAAGGTTGGTTTGAGCTGCAAGGTTGGTGGTTCAAATTCAGCAGCTGCTCCTCAGAAATTCTATTGAGTTGGAACCAACTCAATAGCATTTAACAAGAAGAGAGGGATAGAGTATGTAGACTTTTCCCAGATCACTTAACCTAGAGCTCCACCCTTTAATGACATGGAGTCCTGGTGTGGAGCTATATGACAAGCACTGTGGTGCTTTAGAATAAGTACTGGACTGATAAGTGCAAGGCTGGAGGTTCAAACTCATTAGCTGCTCCCCAGAAACTGTATACAGAGTGGGTAGAAATTGCTGTGTTGCCCAGCAATGTGATAGCACCAGTCTGCCTGCACCACTACCCAGGGTTGTATTTGTCATTTTGTATAGTGCAGTTTGGTTTCTTACTATGACAGACTCATAAAAACAAAGGCATTCGGAGTTGTCTGTGACCCCAGAGAATGTCTGGCCCATCTTCCTTTGGCACCAACTGACTGCTTTCAGTAGTTGGTGGCCCAGCAGGAATTAGAACCCAGGGTTGGTTCTGGGCTGACCCCAGCCAAGAGGCCTTTGGAACACACTTGTAGACATTGTTCTCTGATGTTGAGAACCTCCTTCCTTCCACAGGGAGACGCAGGAGTCACTGGTCGTAAGATCATTGTGGACACCTATGGTGGCTGGGGTGCTCATGGTGGTGGCGCCTTCTCTGGGAAGGACTACACCAAGGTGGACCGCTCTGCGGCATACGCCGCCCGCTGGGTGGCCAAGTCCCTGGTGAAAGCTGGACTCTGTCGGAGAGTGCTTGTGCAGGTAGGCAGAGTGTATGCGCATTAGGCCCGCTCCCCACATGTTGACCTTGCAGTTTCCTGCTAGTGAGGGCTTGGAGCAGTCTGTCCAGTAGGAGATGTTGGCCTAGTGGGAAAGCCAGTGACCTTGCCCAACTGTAACCCTGTGCATTATTGTGTTGGGCAATGTGGCAGGTGTTCAGAGAACCTGGGGGGAGGAAAACAAAAATTCTTCAAGGGAGAGGGAGGAGCTCATGGGTAAACTGCTCACTGGGAAAACGACCAGAGTTCTCTAGGCAGATAGATGGGGGCTTCCCTTCCGGAAGGCTCTGATGGGGTGGGGTGGGGGTCGGCAGAGGCTCCTCTTCCCATGACTTGTCTCTCAACGCAAGGTTTCCTACGCCATCGGTGTGGCGGAGCCGCTGTCTATCTCCCTCTTCACCTATGGAACATCCCAGAAGACAGAGAGAGAGCTGCTGGATGTAGTAAACATGAACTTCGACCTGCGGCCCGGTGTCATTGTCAGGTGAACTGCCCCACTGCTGCCCTCCCGGCCTAGTGCTCCACAGACAGAAGGGCTGTCAGCCTGGAAGTGTCTCCAAGTCTGGAGGCCAGCAGAAACATTCCCCAAAGGCAGGGTGTCTGGCCTTCGGGTTGGAGGAGGCCAGGCAGATCCCTGGTGGTCTAGCAGTCACTGATTCTGGGGCACCTCTGAACAGACAAGAAGCTGGGTTGGGGGAAAGGGGAGGGTCTTACAAGTCCTTTGGCTGAGAATGGTGTCAGTAAGTGTGTTCCCATGAGCTCTTATTCCCATGTGTTTCCTGCTTTGGTGCGTGGTGGTGTCACAGTTGATTTGGACCTGGGTCAGTACAGTGGGAGGAGGAAGGCACGGAGGCCTGAGTTCAAATCCTGTCTTCTGGTGCTCTGTGGGAACCTCTGAGTCTCCGTGTCCTCATTATAAGTGAAGCCAGGGGTGCCTGGGCTGTGGAGGCAGAACTGCTCTGGGACTGGTCATGTTCCATATGGTTTGGCTTCTATCCTCTTCCAGTCACTCCTGTGCTTAGAATTGAGAGAAGGCAACAGAATTCCTCTTCCATTTTACAAAGACTTTTTCTTCTGCTGACTGTGCAGGGATTTGGACTTGAAGAAGCCCATCTACCAGAAGACAGCATGCTATGGCCACTTCGGAAGAAACGAATTCCCATGGGAAATTCCTAAGAAGCTTGTATTTTAGGGCTGCTCAGGCCTGGTCCTGTCCTGCAGGCGACTGAGTGGCAGGTCCCCCTTCTTTATAACCTTAACTCTCAGGTGCCCCTGGGCCCCATGCTACTGGCCACTCTTGAAGAGTGCTCTTCCCAGCCCACGACCCCACCAAGTGAAGCCGGTTCCTGATGTTGTCCTATCCTGTATCTATGGATGGCTGGAATTGGGGCTTGTTGGGGTCAGACCTCTTTGTGGGGAGAGTTACATTGTGCCCTGCCATTTCCTCAGACCAGAGTAGTGTAATTTATCTCCCCCCTCATTCTATCACTCAGCCTACACCCTCATTACCTCCTCCCCACAACTCCACAAGTGCCAATGGTGCAATTCTTATAGATCCCAGGGATTTAAGGTCTGGGTGCCAACCTCCTCGCCACATCTCTAGCCAAGGCTTGGCTGGAGTGACAGGGACATACACCTGGCTTTCTTTCCATAAATGGCATATGGCACACCACCACCTGTCCTCAACCTGGGTCTTTCAAACAGCATTTCTGCCTTCTTCCCATTTCCTGGACCATAGATTCAGATCGGGGCATGTGTGCCAGAGGAGAACATGAGACACTGAGCTTCTCTCCAAGGTGCTGGTTCTGGTGGGAAGAGTCAATCCAGGACTCCTCATCTGGACCCAGGCTCTCCCTTGCTATCGGGACAAAGAAGCTCTTTGGGGTAGAAAAAGAAGCTCAAATGGCCATAAAACCCTATCACTTGCATATGACAGGAAGTACTGTGTGTTTCCTCATAGGGCTCCCCATTTCCAGAAGGTTTCAAGTTCCTTCCAGCAAAATTGAGATCTGGTCATATTTAAAATGAGCATTCCAAAATGTATATTCCCTTCCTTCCAAGAGAAACAACATCTGTTTAGTCAACATTGTTGTAAACAAACATTTATTTGTTAATAATTCCTGCTAGACCTGAATTAAAACGGTACTCTATGCCTAATCTTTGTCTATAAAACACCCGGAGCTCCCCTTGTTGTGCGGCGTTACTGATCCTACGTGGGCCTCAACATGCCTGTGTATGTGAGACATATCTACCATGCGCCGTTTCTCTTACTTGCCAGTACTATGTTAAATCACGTATTGTCCTACTTCTCAGCACACTCTGTCAAGGACTTTATTGTTATTGTTGCGAAGTGCTATCCAATTGGTTCCAACCCATAACGACCCCATTATAGGGTTTCCAAGGAGCAGCTGGTGAGCTTGTGATTCAAACTAACTTTTCAGTCCAGTGCATTAACCCACAGCACCACACCAGGACTTCATTAGTAAATCCATTTTACATATGGGGAACCTGAGGCCCAAAGAATTAGGAACATAAGTGACTTCACGTTGGAGCATGGTGCCCTTGTTGTGTTCACTGCTGTCCCTGGTCCTCTTCAGGGTTCTGTTCTTCCATCCCTATTTTATTGCAGAGGATCTGCAGTAAGACGAGGCTGTAATTTGTCCATTGGTTGAAAAGTGACTGAGTGAATGAAGTTGACCTGGACGAGGGGTTTGATCTGTAGGGAGATGAGTCAAACCTTTAAATGGGCACACATTTCCCTTTCACACATTTTCTTTGATTGTGAGGAAATTATGCACTATTTTCTATTAGAAGATTGTCCTTCAGTAGCCCCTTGAAGGTTTGGTCAGAGCAGTCGGGGAGGTGGGAACTACACTGCTTCATGCAACAGGCTGTTTACCTAAAGATGGGAGCATTGGTGTGAAGTTCAAGGTAGGCGCTTCTCCTGTCCTGGATGAGGCGGCTTGGGTGAAACCCACCAAGGCTGCCAAGACCCTGATATGAGATAGGATAATCTGGGGAGCCATGAATGACGTAGCAATGCAGCTAAGAGGAAAGGATCCACGGATAGGAGGGTCATATAGTCTTGACTACAACAAAATGAATACCTTGAAAAGCCATCACATGGTGTGTGTAATGAAATATTCTGCACAGACAAATGCAGACAATTCATGAATCATTGAGAACATATTTTGTAAGAATGCATACAAACAAGACAATAGAACATATTGGAATGCTTACTATGGGGAGCAGAGGTAGATAAAATACTTAGTAACACTTTTAAAATTAACTAATTAGGCAGTAAGTAAAATAACTACTAATAATTAAATAAAATAATTTAAAAAATAAATAATTAGTGCAAGCAAGAAGAAGCATTTTGAAATGATAAGAATCAGGGAGATGAAGTAGGAAAGGAGATTGAGAGCAAATGGTCAGTGGATGCCCCTGGGAGCCAAATGAGGATGGTCTCTAGGATGAGGGAGGGACCAACTTGTGAAATAATAGGCATGTGTCAGAGGACCATGTGGAACTGGAGGTTGTCCATGATCATGAAGTGGGCAAAGTAAAAAGCAAACGTGATCATGTTTCCAAGCAAATGTGAGCCTTTAGTGCTTTCAATACATTCAAAATCAACCCACAGAGTGTGGTCAGCTGTTACTGCTCATAGGCCCAGCCTGTGGCCACTTCTGTCTCACTCTGGGCTCTGCCCCCCTAGCCAGCGCTCCCCTCCTCTCCACTTTGGTAACCCACAGTCCACACTTATTCCTGTTCTAGGACCTTTACATACGTTGCTTGTCTTGCAGTGATGTTCATCCCCATCTTTGAATGGTTGTCCCATTTCATCCCCTAGGTTTCCAAGGTCATTTCTGATCTCTGAAAAGCCCTTTCCTGGAGAATTTCTTTTATACCCACTCCCTTTTTAGTTTATTTTCCCGTATTGATCACAAAGTGTCATTATTTGCCTGTTTACTTTGCTGGACTCCTCTTTTCTTCATCAGTTGGCTCCTCTGAACCCCGTCAATCTTGGCCTCTCCTCTGTAAGCACCCCCATAAATTTGCCCAGCACTTTTCTCTTTCTGGTACTGGGTTATCAAAGATTAGGGTTCTTTAAGGATATACTTGCTCTCTTGTCTACGTCAGCCATTCGCACAGGGCTCGGTTCTGCCTGAAATCTGGTCATGTCTGTGGTTTCATACCTGCTCCAGTGCAGGCTCTACGCAGGGTATGTGCTGGACTTAGCACTAGTCACATGGGATGATCAATTATAGGCATTTCGTTGCTTCCTGACCTATGAGCTCCTCTTAGTAAAGAGATCCTCAAAGAGACAATGATCCTGTCTCTGGTAGGACCCCACCAGGCTCAGGTGACTAGAGATGCCAGTCACAATCATTAACAAAGTTTAATTTTTTTTAATTCCTTTTAAGAAAGTTGAACTGGGTCTTTGAGAATATATACAACCATCACACTGCATTTTTTTTTTTAATGTTTTATTGTGAATTGTGTGATAATCTACACAGGAGAACATCAGCTCTACATTCATTCCATCATCCATCATTTCATTGGCATAGTTATCATCCTGTCCATGCATCCTCACCCAACTTAGGGGTGTATGCTGTAAACCTGCACCCCCTCCCATCACAGTCCTCAGCCCCTTTCCATCTCCTGATCCCGAGCCCCCAGCTCCACCATCTCTTGATGTTGTCTTCTCTGCCTCCATCCCAGGCCTCACTGCCTCTCTGGGTAGGATTCCGCTCTTCGCTCTTCTCCATTGATGGTCCCAGGGTCCTCTGCTCCTAGACTGATAAATCAATCACTCCCCTCTTTGCTACAAAATGTCCATCTTTAGATTTTCAACCCTCTCAATCAGTCCTGATAACAATTATTCACCATTGCATCACAAGAGACCCATCTATATTTCATTTCATCAACCCTTCCTGGACAGGCTGGACACCACTCACTGGAGACTCCACCTCCCTCCACACCCTCTGGATCTAGGTTTCCTCTTGAAAGCTTGTAAGCCAGTCACTTCATGCCTTTGTATCCCTCCCCCCATTTTGGGTAGCCAATGTCCAAGTTGCCCATCCCTGTCTACCCTTTGTGTGGAGGGGGTGGGTATAGTTCTTGCAGCAGGGACTTGTTTCCTCTTTTGAGCTGCATTTATAGGTGTAGGTCATGTTTATCAAATTGTATCAGATGATGCTCTTTTCCCCTCTTCTTTCTTCTTAGGGTTGAGCTCTGTTTATCCAGTCATTGAAGTCCAATCAAATGGGCATCATCTGCAAGTGTGGGTGTTCTTATATCTGTCTGGCCTCTTTTTATCGGATAGCTGCCCCGCTCTCCACTCTAGACCTCTGTGGCTGTGTCACTGACCCTGAGCCCATGAGTTCCCAGATGTTGCCTCGCTACTGGCCGACCAGGTCTCCATCCGGGTTCACAGTAGTTTGCTGAATGATGTAGGGCTTAGCTCGCCCCTTTGTTGATGTTCTTCGGCCACTTCCCCTTCTGGGTGATGTGCGTGGTTGTCAGTCAAAGTGTATATTTCCCTTGTGTCTTAGTCTTGGAAGAGAATTTGCACTGAGAGGATCCGATCACTTGCCTTGATGTCTCCTGGGCAGGCCACCTGTATGTTCTTGATAACACTGCATTTTGATATTTCAACACTAGAAGTAAACATGAGAAGACAAGGAGATGGTCACCCCATTTTCTACAAGCATGCTAAAGGGAGGATTCATGGGATGGGGTAGGCAGGAAGTCAGGAAATGTGAACTGAGTATAGGGTGAGGTCACTTGTACTGAAAGAGATACTTTGGGAGCCGGAGTTTGTGATGTGGCTCTGAAAGAAAGGATTAACGACTAGTGTGTGCCTGGTTGAGGTTAAAGGTTTAGGGCAAGATCTTTAGAAAACATTTTCCCCTATGACCCTGGCACACGGTGGGTACGAAGTGGCATGACAGACACCAGGTCCTGTCATGAGGTGCCTGCCTTCTTGCCATGGCATCTTTCTGAGAGAAGTATCGAAGAATATGGAAAAGCAACTGAGTTCTGAGTTTGGCTCATGTCAGTCCCAGGTGAAGACAAATGTAAGTTCACAAATCATGAGAACCAGAAACCAGCCAGAGCAGGCAGGAGAGCTGATGACCCTCAGGAATCCGCATTAACCATGATGGTGCATTTCCAAAAACTCAGCCATTGAAAGTCTATGGAGCACAACTCTACGGACACACATGGAGTTGC